CCTGAGCAAGAGCGAGACCCCGTCTCTACTATAAAAAACAAATTAATTGGCCAACTAATATATATATAAAATTAGCCGGGCATGGTGGCGCATGCCTGTAGTCCCAGCTACTCGGGAGGCTGAGGCAGCAGGATTACTTGAGCCCAGGAGTTTGAGGTTGCTGTGAGCTAGGCTGACGCCACTCACTCTAGCCTGGGCAACAATTGAGACTCTGTCTCAAAAAAAAAAAAAAAGAAAAATCCAGTTAAACTTTTATTTCTGGCTGGGTGTGGTAGCTCATGCCAGTAATCCTAGCACTTTGGGAGGCCAGGGTAGGAGGATCACTTGAGGCCAGGAGTTTAAGACCAGCCTGAGCAAGAGCGAGACCTCATCTCTACAAAAATGTTTTAAAGACTAGCCAGGCATGGTGTATGCCTATAGTCCCAGGTACTCGGGACACTAAAGCAGGAGGATTGCTGAAGCTCAGGAGTTTGAAGTTGCAATGAGCTATGATGATGCCACTTCAGTCTATCTGGGGCCAACAGAGCAACACTCTGTCTCAATCATCAACCAATAAATAAACTTTTATTTCTATTGAGAAGTGAACTTTTAAAGTTATGATTTGTAGCTGGTTCAAGTGGAGTGGTGTTTACAACTAATTGATCACAACCGGTTATAGATTCCTTTGTTCCTTGTCCACTCCCACTGCTTGACTTAACTAGCAAAAAGAAAAAAATTATGATTTGCCATGAAGTCTTTGTGGAATAATTGCCTTTATTCAGGATGAGACAAACAATTTGCCATTAAAATAACTTTTATTAGCAGTGGCTTTGTAAATTGGTATATATTGAAGTTTATAGAGTTCAGATGATAGTTAGAAAAAAGATTTATAATTTATTTAAAGTTTTTTGTGCTAGCATTTATATTTCCTGTATTCTATGCCACCCTTTTAGTGTGCAATTTTAACTTAATTGTGAACAGACTTTCTTCTTGTATGTGTTGCTTTAGTCTTCAAGTGTAATTGAAGCTCACTAACTCCTTTTTTCTATAAAAAAAATTTCATGTTATTTCAGTGCAAGATTTAGGCAATGGGTGTATAGCAACAAGACAATTGATCTAGAATGAGAAGACCCAAGTTGTAGTTATAGGTCTAAGACTAATTTTTTCTCTGATTTACTAGTGAGTCACTTATCTTCCATTGGCCCTGTTTTCCATTCATAAAAATGCAGAATCAAAGTGGCATAGAATTCTCTCCCTACTTCTCCCTGCTAAGTATGACTATAAAACCTGGAAATGACACAAGAGACAATTAGGAGAACTCTGAAAGGTGGAAAGAGAGTCTGGTTGTGGACCCAGAACTGGCAAAACAGCACAGCAGCAGGGTGTCTCCCAATGCCCCACCCAACAGTAAAAAGAGACCTAGACCTAGGTGTTTCTTGACCTCCGACCTAGCAACAAAAGGTGGCCCAGGTAGACTCATTCCTCTGCTAGATTGAATGCAAGTCTTGCCATCAATATTAGGAGAGCCCAGCAAAACTGGCAAGGATTAGAAGCCCTGCTAATAAGTGGCCACCAGAGTTCTTTCCCTTCCTTCCATGAAGAGGGCTGGGTAGGCATGGCAAAGCGATCACCTTACAACCAGCCTGGAATTGATGGCAGTCTTCATCTATGAAGTCCAGAAGCTCTTTCCCCTCATAGTGGTACCAGGTGGCCATGGGAAACTCCTCCTACCCCTTCAAGCTTCACAGGCTGAGGCCCTACTAAATTTCCACCTCAAGAAATTAGAAAAGGAAGAGCAAAATAACTCTGAGCAAACAGAAGAAAGTAAATAATAAAGATGAAAACAGAAATCAATGAAATTGAAAATAACATTTTAAAAAATCAAAACAGAAAGCTGGTTCATTGAAAAAAGTCTAATAAAATTGATATATTTTTGTTAGCAAAACTAGCAGAAATAAAGATAGAAGACACGAATTACCAATATCAGGAAAATGGAGCTATCATTACAGATCCTGCAACTATTAGAAGGGTAATAAGGAAGCTCTGTGAACAACTTTATACTCATAAACCTGATGACTTAAAAGAAATGGACCAATCCCCAAAATCACAAACTACAAAACTCAATCAAAATAAAATAGCTAACATGAATAGTGCTGCAACCATTAAAGAAATTGAATTTGGGGCAAGGCACAGTACCTCATGGCTATAATCCTAGCACTGTGGGATGCTGAGGTGGGTGGATCGCTCAAAAGGTCAGGAGTCCGAAACCAGCCTGAGCAAAAGCGAGACCCTATCTCTACTATAAATAGAAAGAAATTATTGGCCAACTAAAAATATATATAGAAAAAATTAGCTGGGCATGGTGACACATGCCTTTAGTCCCAGCTACTTGGAAGGCTGAGTCAGGAGGATTGCTTGAGCCCAGAAGTTTGAGGTGCTATGAGCTAGGCTGACGCCATGGCACTCTAGCCTGGGCAACAGAGTAAGACTCTGTCTCAAAAAAAAAAAAAAAAAAGGAAATTGAATTTGTAATTTAAAAGCTCTCAAAAAAGAAGAAACTACTGTAGGCCTAAGTAGTTTTATTGGAGAATTCAAAAGAAGAATTAACAGTAATTTTACCCAGTCTCTTCCAGAAAATATAAAGGAAGAGAACATTTCTCAACTGTTTCTATAAGGTCAATATTACTCTGATACTAAGATAAGGGAAAGACAGTATTAAAAAAGAAAACTACCCAGCATGAGCAAGAGTGAGACCCATATCTGCTAAAAATAGAAAAATTAGCCGAGTGTGGTGGTGCTTGCTTATAGTCCCAGCTACTTGGGAGGTTGAGGCAGAAGGATCCCTTGAGCCAAGGAGTTTGAGCTTGCAGTGAGCTATGATCACACCAGGCACGGTAGCCCAGGGGACAGAGTAAAAAAACAAAACATAAACTACAAACCAGTATCTCCCATGAACTTAGGTGTAAAAATCCTCTACCAAATTATTAGTAAACCAAATCAAATCCTATGATATAGTAAAAAAAAAAAAAGTACACACGATGCCCAAGTGACCTTTATTCCAGATATGCAAAGCTAAAAAAGAAATAGAATAAATATCATATCGTATTTTGGGTTTGTTTGTTTGTTTTGAGACATAGTCTCACTCTGTTGCCCCGGCTAGAGTGCCATGGCATCAGCTTAGCTCACAGCAATTTGAAACTCCTTGGCTCAAGCAATCCTTCTGCCTCAGCCTCCCCAGTAGCTGGGACTACAGGCATGTGCTACCATGCTCAGCTAATTTTTTCTATATACATTTTTAGTTGGCCAGTTAATTTCTTTGAATTTATAGTAGACATGGGGTCTCGCTCTTACTCAGGCTGGTTTCGGACTCCTGACCTTGAGCGATCTACCCGCCTTGGCCTCCCAAAGTGTTAGGATTACAGGCGTGAGCCACCATGCCAGGCCATATTTTTGGTTTTTTTATACCAAAAAAAAAAAACTTGACAAAATCTAGTGTTCATGATTAAAAAACTCTCAAGTTAGGAGAAGTGAAGTATCTCATTCTGATGAAGGATGCCTACAAAAAGCTTACAGCTAGCATCATATTTATGGTGATAAGAGTGAAGGCTTTCTCTCTAAGATGGAGAGCAAAGCAAGGATATCCACTCTCACCACTGCCATTCAGCCTATCACTGGAATTTCCAGCCACTGTAATAAGTCAAGAAAGGTAAATAAAAAGGCCTACAGATTGGAAAAGAAGAAATAAAACTGTCCCTATTCACAGATGACATGATTTTCTGTGTACAAACTCCTAGAACTAATAAATGAGTTTAATGTCTCAGGACATGAGATCAGTATCCAAAAGTTAGTTTCATTTCTATATGCTAGCAATGAACATGTAGGAACCAAAATTAAAAATACTACCCTTTATAATCACTACAAGGAAAATTAAATACTTTAGGTATAAACTTAACAAAACATATAGAGGATCTGGTGTGCTGAAAATTACAAAGAAACTGATGAAAGAAGTTGGTCAGATGCAGTGGCTCACGCCTATAATCCTAGCACTTTTGGAGGCCAAGGCAGGAGGATACTTGAGCCCAGGAGTTTGAGGTTGCATTCAGCTATGATGACACCACTTCACTCTATCTTGGGCAAAAGAACAAGATACTGTCTCAGAAAATACACATATTAATATTTAATAAAAGGAAAATTGATAAATTAGACATTGTCAAAATTAAAAACTTTTGCTCTGAGAAGACCTTACTAAGACTTTATCACATTTTAGTATCATTTTGGAATGCATCTTATAGTCAGTTTAATTGAATCTTAGTTTAATTGACAGCTTTTTGCTTTCTTTGGGTTTTTTTTGAGACAGAGTCTCACTTCGTTGCCTGGTCTAGAGTGCCGTGGCATCAGCTTAGCCCACAGAAACCTCAAATTCCTGGGCTCAAGCAATCCTTCTGCCTCAGCCTCCCGAGTAGTTGGGACTAGTTTTTTCTATATATTTTTAGTTGGCCAATTAATTTATTTCTATTTTTAGTAGAGACTGGGTCTCACTCTTGCTCAGGCTGGTTTCGAACTCCTGACCTTGAGTGATCCGCTCGCCTCCCAGAGTGCTAGGATTATAGGCGTGAGCCACTGTGCCCGGCCTTGCTTTCTTGATAATACGTAAACATCTAACATTTAGTGGTGTCTTAGGTACAATGATATCTGATAATAATACCTAAAACCAACTATTTCTTGTAATTTTTATCTGAATGTAAAACATTTTTATTATTTTTATTAAACAGTTTTTCTTAAAACTGTTTAATAAAACTGTTTAATAAACAGTTTTAAATAAACTGTTTAATAAACAGTTTTTATAAAACTGTTAAAAATAAGCAGGGGAGGTGTTTTTTTTTTCTTTAGAGGGACTGTTAACAATCTGAGGGTCTGATGGTGAATTCAGTGACATTCCATGGTGATAATATATTATTTACATATACCCAAATGCTCAAGCCTCATTTCCCCTCATCTTTTTTTTTCCTTTGTTTTTCAAGTGTCAATATACAGTATCTGGTTTTATGACAAGAATGACTGTCACCGCATAGCGAAACTCATGGCTGAGTAAGTATATTACTCTATAGATTTAATTGATGATATATGAAAATGAAAAATTTCCCTCTCCACTTCTCTTTATTACTGAAGTCTATTAACTCATGTATTTCCCCTTGTTTTCCTTTTTATTGCCAAAAACTTGAAAAAGCAAAAAAGCTGTAAAAGTGAATGTCTGTGATTGTTTTTACAAAAATAGGATCATACTGTATATACTGCTTTTCATGTCAATAGAATTTTTCCAGGGTGTAATATTTTCCTCTGTAGTATTTATAATGACTACATTATATCTGATCATAATTTAACAGGAACCTCACTGTCGAACATGTAAGTTAGGGCTGCCATACTGTCCAGCTCCAGAGGATGGCGTCTGTATCCAGTGCACAGCCTGGCCTGCATATACAGTGGTTCAGCTTTAGGTTCTGTACAAATTTCCACTGCAACAAGTGATACTGTTTAAGGTTTCAGTAACCTGGCGGAGAATTCCCACACACATTCATGTTTAATTCCTTTAAGCGAACTTGTTTTTGACATGGACTCTAGGCTTAACAGGCCCTAATCCACTAATGGATTTTTTATAACTCAGACTCTTGAAATATAGAAAATAATTTTCACTGAATTAATGTAGTAAAAGGTAGCTCATTGTCCTTTCCCAAGCTAGCCTGTAGAAGCCACCCTGTGTGCCCTGTATGTATTGCTGAACCACAAGTAGGATTCCAGGAGCCCAAGGCACTGGTGTTGGGTGGGCCTGAGGAGCTACAGTTCTGGGTAAAGGGCTGCAGTGGGCAAACTGACTCTTCTGGCGCACTGCTGCTTTGTTTTCAGTTTTTGCCTGAATCTCCTCAGAAACCTGGGCCTCTGTTCCCCCTCTGTCAAATCAACATTCCTTTTGCTCTACTGCAAGGTTTTTATCTACATGTTTGGAAGAAAATAGTCTTAATTTTTTTTAACAGTCTAATTTTAAACTCATAAAAGTATAAATAAATAACTAACCCCAAAACCTCATTTCAGGGTATATTTGCATTTTAAAAGAAGATACACATTGCTATGGGCAAATTATGATCCAGGACTACTAACATGTTCTGATTGGATGTTTATCAGCCTCTGCATTATTGTATATTCTGGCTGGGAGCTTGCAGGGCAGGCCCATGTTACTTACTTTACTACTGTGTGTACCCCTGAAGGCATTATTACCTATGGACCTGTAGTTACTCATATTTGAAAAAGTGCTCTCTACATTCACATTTTCTTTTTAGAACACTTTTTCTCTAAAAGAAGATAAAGCTATTTATTTGATGATGACCTTGTTTTTTTTTTTGTTTTTTTTTTGTAGGAGACAGAGTCTCTGTAAATAATGACTTGATTGTTTATTTTTATTTTTTTGAGACAGAGTCTCGCTTTGTTGCCCAGGCTAGAGTGAGTGCCGTGGCGTCAGCCTAGCTCACAGCAACCTCAAACTCCGGCTCAAGGATCCTCCTGCCTCAGCTCCCGAGTAGCTGGGACTACAGGCTGCCCACCATGCCCGGCTAATTTTTTCTATATATATATTAGTTGGCCAGTTAATTTCTTTCTATTTATAGTAGAGATGGGGTCTCGCTCTTGCTCAGGCTAGTTTTGAACTCCTACCTCGAGCAGTCTGCCCACCTCAGCCTCCCAGAGTGCTAGGATTACAGGTGTGAGCCACCACGCCTGGCCTGATTGTTTGTTTGTTTGTTTGTTTATTTTGGCATATTATGGGGGTACAGATTTTAAGGTTTTAATAAATGCCGTTTCCCCCCTCCCCACAAGTCTGAGTTTCCAGCATGCCCATCCCCCAGATGTGCACATCTCACTCGTTATGTATGTATATACCCCCCTTCCCCCTCCCCCTGCCCAATACCCTATTACTGCAGTACCTATGTGTCCACTTAGGTGCTGCTCAGTTAATAGTTTGCTGGTGAGTGTATTGGTGCTTGTTTTTCCATTCTTGGAAACTTCACTTAGTAGTATGGGTTCCAGCTCTAACCAGGAAAATAAGATGTGCTATATCACCATTGTTTCTTAGAGCTGAATAGTACTCCCATGGTATACATATACCACATTTTATTAATCACTCTTGGATTGATGGCACTTGGGCTGTTTCCAGCCTTGCATTATGAATTGTGCTGCTATAAATTCGAGTGCAGGTGTCTTTTTGTAGAGTGTCATTGGATCTTTTGGTAGATGCCCAGTAGTGGAATTGCTGGATCAAATGGTAGATTCACTTGTATCGCTTTCAGGTATCTCCATATTGCTTTCCACAGAGGTTGAACTATTGCAGTCCCACCAGCAGTGTAGAGTGTTCCTCTTTCTCCGCATCCAAGCCAGCATTTATGTTTGGAGACTTTTTGATAAAGGCTATTCTCACTGGAGTTAAGTGATATCTCATTGTGGTTTTGATTTGCATTTCCCTGATGATTAGAGATGTTGAGCATTTTTTCATATGTTTGTTGGCCATTCTCTGTCTTCTTTAGAAAGTTTCGTTCAAGTCCTTTGCCACTTTTTAATAGGGTTATTTGATTTTTTCTTGCTGATTTTCATGAGTTCTAAGTATATTCTAGTTATCAGCCCCTTATCAGATACATAGGATGCAAAAATTTTCTCCCATTCTGTAGGTTGTCTGTTTACTTTCATGACTGTTTCTTTGGCTGTGCAGAAGCTTTGTAGTTTGATCATGTCCCATTTATTTATTTTTGTTGCTGCTGTGATTGCCTTTGGGGACTTCTTCATAAACACTTTGCCTAGGCCGATGTCTAGGAGAATGTTTGCAACATTTTCCTCTAGAATTCTAATAGTTTGATTGTTTATTTAATACTCAGTTATAGGCCACACCAGCCTGAATCCACCTTCATAAAGGACTCTGTCACATAGCCTGTTTTTCGCCTGCCTTCTGCCATGCTTCCTGTCTCGGCCATCCTGGTATTCACTTCTTCCCTGACTTGGACTGGATCTGGGATTTTGGTTTAAAAGAAGAACATTTTAATTGCCATTGTTCACCTGTGGAACAGACCATCTTGTAAAGCTCACTGCTGCTATTAATAAAAGCAGAAGCTGTCAGGGGTGGTGTGGAAGGGGCTCTCACCCACATGGGGCTTGGACTCTAAGGCCTCTTCCAATTTATTTATTTAGTTAGTTTGTTTTGAGACTTGATCTCACTTTGTCACCCAGGCTGTACAGTGGCATGATCATAGCTCACTACAGCTTCCAACTCGTAGGTCAAGCAATCCTGCCTCTGCTTCCTCACTAGCTGGGACTACAGGCCCATGCCACCACATCCAGCTAATTTTTCTATTTTTAGTAGAGATGAGGTGTTGCTATGCTGCCCAAGCTAGTCTTAAACTCCTGACCTCAAGCAATCCTCCCGCCTCAGCCTCCCAAAGTGGTTAGATTGCATGCGTGAGCCACCACAACCAGCCAAAACTGACTCTATTTTAAAAAGATATCTGTTTAATGTTACTTAACCCAGTGTTTTTAATGGGAGTTCCTGAACAGGATGTTTAAAGTCACAAACTGACACTGAGTGACCTGTTCTTGTCCTATACCCCTTATTACATAAAAATAAGCCTTTGACTACTGAAGTGTTTTATTGCCTGTCATAATTGTCTGGAAAGTTCTTTGTTAATACGATTATGAAGTTGTGGCTATGCCCATAAAATCCCATAGTGACTAGGCTTATTCTTAGTTGCCTTATTAAAATTTTTTGTCTATTTCAAACTTGAAGAAAAATATAGGAAATAATAAAATATCTGTGCTTATCATCCAGCTTTCCATTTCTAATATTTTGCTCTAATTGCTTCAAATCTTTCTATATAGTAGAGAGGAGATATTCTTTAAAAATGAAAGCCTACAGATAAATTTGAAAATCTCAGCCCTATCAGTGGCATTCTTTTCTTGCTTTATCAATTTTCAAATGAAGAATTAGCTTAAGTAGCACCAATCAAAATAAAAAGCATTCCCATGACCACCCTGAGCTTGCACTTAGTGATTTTTAGAGGAAAAATAATGGAAACCTTTTGTTTGCTTGTAGTGCTGTCATTAACTTCCTCTATTTTCAAAAAGCTAATATTTCTCCTTGCCAGCCCAGTGTCAATATACATTTTCCACAGTGGGTTGTTCAGCCTTCCTGTGTCTTGGTGGCATTGTCCATTTTCTTTTCTTTTTTTTTTTCTAATTTTCTCTGATCCTTGATTCTGGTGTATTGTCCATTTTCAAATTTACCAATTAGTTTGATTTTGAGATAATTCTAGGAATAAAGGAGATACTTTAATAGAGTTTTTAATGAACCTACTTAGACCAACTATAAGAGAAAATATTTTTTTTCCTTCTAAAGTGAAATATAGGCCAGGCGTGGTGGCTCACGCCTGTAAACCTAACACTCTGGGAGGCTGAGGTGGGCGGATTGCTCGAGGTCAGGAGTTCGAAACCAGCCTAAGCAAGAGCGAGACCCCGTCTCTACTATAAATAGAAATTAATTGGCCAACTAATATATAGAGAAAAAATTAGCCGAGCATGGTGGCGCATGCCTGTAGTCCCAGCAACTCGGGAGGCTGAGGCAGTAGGATCGCTTGAGCCCAGGAGTTTGAGGTTGCTGTGAGCTAGGCTGATGCCATGGCACTCACTCTAGCCTGGGCAACAAAGTGAGACTCTGTCTCAAAAAAACGGTGAAATATGTTGATTGGCACTGTTGTGAGTGAGATGGTAAATGGGTCATATATTCCTAAAATGAGGTAACTGAGGCTCAGTGTTAACATATTGCAAGGACAATGTCATCATGTGACATTCTTAGTGTATCCTTGGAAAATGGACACCAAAAGAGGTTTGGGTCAGATTGTGTCTAAAGAGGCCTTTCTAAAACCTGGTTCTCCTCCTCTAGTGTGGTAGAAGAGGAGACACGGAGATCCCAGCAAGCTGCTCGGGATAAACAGAGTCCCAGCCAGGCTAACGGCTGCAGCGATCACAGGCCCATCGACATCCTGGAGATGCTGAGCAGAGCCAAGGATGAATACGAGAGGGTGAGGCTCTCTGGGTGCTGACGCGGGAAAACCAAAAGGGGCGGAGGAGACCTGCAGGAAGCTGTGGACTAGGGAAGACACCTTTAGGGCCAGCAGAGATAATTAGTTCAAAAGAAAGTATGTCTGGCCAGGCACAGTGGCTCACGCCTGTAATCCTAGCACTCTGGGAGGCCCAGGCGGGTGAATCATTTGAGCTCAGGAGTTCGAAACAAGCCGGAACAAAAATGAGACCCTATGTCTATTAAAAAAAAAATAGAAAGAAATTAGCTGAACAACTAAAAATATAGAGAAAAAATTAGCTGGGCATGGTGGCACATGCTTGTGGTCCCACCTACTACTCGGGAGGCTGAGGCAGAGGATCACTTGAGCCCAGGAGTTTGAGATTGCTGTAAACTAGGCTGACGCCATGGCACTCTAGCTTAGGCCAAAAAAAAAAAAAAAAAAAGAAAGAATGTCTTACAATTTTAAGCCTGATGTCAACAGGGAAAAAAAAAGCCAAACTGTGTAAAACGATTTTAAAGAGATTTACCCTGAGCCAAATTTGAGGACCATGACTTGAAGCCATGCCCAAGAAGCCTTGGACAAGTGGACTCGCTGTGGCGGGGTTACAGTTTGGTTTTATACCTTTCAGGGAGACAGGGGTTACAGGTAAAGTCATAAATCAATACACGGGAGACATACATTGGTTTGGCCCAAAAACGTGGGCCATCTCTAAGTGCGGGGCTAATAGGTTATAGGTGGGTTTTAAGATTCTTTGGAGGTTATCCCAGGCAAGAATGGGGGGCAGCCGGGCCACGCTAGTGCAGAGACTGTGCAGAGAGGTTGGCCAGAGGGAGAGGGAAACAAGCCCCAGGACGTGGGGGGCAGGGCAAGCTACTGGATCAGGGCAGCCTGCGGGGAAGGTAACTTCACACCCAGTGCTTAATGCACCTTGGAAGGCTGGAGTGCCTTGGCCAGCTGTTCACTATGCTGCTGCAACTGTGGAGCTGGCTCCCAGCAGACAAAAGGAGCCAGACCCACAAGCCCGGGTGGGGGTGGGGGTGGCGGGCCCAGTGGTCACTCCCCACCGCACGTAGCGCACACCACCCAAGCTGGACCTTGGCGGGAGGAACGGGGCCACAGGGGGCATGGGGAGGGGACCCATCACCCTGACCCAGCCTGGGGGGTCCCAGAAGGTCAGGTGAAGGGGAGGGTCCCCCGGGGCAGCACGCCAACACTGTGGGACCTGGGGAGGCACACGATCGCTTACCTGGTATGTAATACAGAGGTGGCTTGAACCCAAACGTGGTTCAAATTAGGATTCCATAGTGGCCAGAGAGGGATGAAGAAGGAAAAAAATAGATTAAAAACCCAGCACGGGCTGATCGCAGTGGCTCACACCTGTAATCCTAGCACTCTGGGAGGCTGAGGCAGGTGGATTGCTCAAAGTCAGGAGTTCAAAACCAGCCTGAGCAAGAGAGAGACCCATCTCTACTATAAATAGAAAGAAATTAATTGGCCAACTAATATACAGAAAAAATTAGCCGGGCGCAGTGGTACATGCCTGTAGTCCCAGCTACATGGGAGGCTGAGGCAGCAGGATTGCTTGAGCCCAGGAGTTTGAGGTTGCTGTGATCTAGGCTGACACCATGGCACTCACTCTAGCCTAGGCAACAGAGCGAGACTCGTCTCAAAAAAAAAAAACCCAGCAAGGAAATAAAAAGCACGGTCCAATCCACAGCATTCAAAAATGTCCAAAACAATAAAGTGTCAATGGAAAAAAGCCAAAAAAAAAAAATTCTTTGGCTTATAATTGGTTAAAGACATGAAGCTTTGTCTAAAGCAGGGTTCCTCAAACTTTTTAAACAGTGGGCCAGTTCACTGTCCCTCAGACCGTTGGAGAGCGCAATGCACATTTCACACATGTACACTGTGGGCCCAGGATGAGTCAACTGCTAAGCAGGACAGGCAGCGGTGGCACCTGGTGGGCCGCATGTGGCCCTCGGGCGGTAGTTTAAGGATGCCTGGTCTAAAGGCTTGGAATGTTTTAAGATAATGAGGTCTGTTAATCAGAGACCAGCCATCAGACATAGATTTGTTGTATAAATTGAGGACCTGCAGGTTTGTCTTGCATACTCTTAGGCCTGTTAATGAGTTATAAAGGATGTCTCCAAGAAGGGTGCAGGGGGCATGATGTGGCATGTCTGACCTCCCTCTCCCTGGCAGATAATTTAGTTTTAGGATATTCCTTTGGCCACAAAGGGGTCCATTCAGTCAGCTAGTGGGGAGGGGTTATGAGCCTTTAAATTTTCATTTAGTTCACACTAAAACATAAGGAAAGAACTCTGCTTACTTCAGAGCGCTTTTTTTGGCAGGAAATTTTACAGTGCTCTTTTTCTGTTCTTGTAAAGTTAGTATAGGAGAAAATGGTCTTAGAGTGCTGAAGTTAGCCAACATCAGGTAGTTCTGGAAAAGCTTCATGCCTCTTTACCCCTGCAGTGGCTTGGATGCTCAGTGGTTTTAGGAATTTATGTAGCCTTTGGAAAATATTCTGATAATTTATACCACATAATACTAACAGGTACATTTATGGTGTGAGGTATGGTGGTAGGTATGTAACCTTCCTTAAGCATCTTTTGGAGTTTTATGCAAATAAGAGGCTTTTCTGAAATTCAGTGTTTTCTTTTTCATCTGTTTTGCATTTTAGTTTTTAAGCTAACTGATAATATTTTCCCCCAAAAGTTGAATAAAATGGCAATTGTGGTGCATTAGTTAATTTATTCAACACATGCTTATAAACTGTCCACAATGTGCCAAGCAGTGGACATTTCATGACAGTGTCTTCAAATTTTGTGGCTGTGGAACTGTCCTGGCTTTTTACTTGGCACCTCAAAGCTCCACACATCATTAGAGTGAGACTAAAGCTTTCTAGTGCTGCACGTTGTTTCAGCAGAGTTATAATTGCCATCTTAACTCTCCATTAAACATTGGGCTAAATGCTTTCCTTTCTGTTTCATCCATACCTCACCAAAACGTCAAGAAACATAATGTGAAAAGCACTAAGACCTTTTTCCAAAACAGTTCTGCTATAACACTAGCTTCTAAGTTTTTAATAGATGAACCTTGAAAAAAGCTTCAAGTTTGTCAAATGAATTGAGGAAATGTTAGCATGACTCCTCCTCCCCTCATCCTCTTGGGACTTTACAGTGCCCAAGACTGAGAGGTACCACAATAAATAAAACAATAACATCAGTTCCCAGATTGTTTTGACTATAGGACCATTTTTTACATACGACCCTTCAACTTCTCAAGAATCTGGAGTTCAGGGAACAAACTTTGGAAAAAGTTGTTCTGGAAGGTAATTTCTTCTAACTAAAAGAGGCATATTTACCATAAACTACAATAAACCATCTGTATTCAACCACCAAAGGAAGCTCTACCTACTGGGTAGAGAATTGTATATTAGAGCCCATGAGAAGTTTCAGATTGTACCAGATTCCTCAGTGTCTCAAAGAGAATCAGTAGGAATGTATGGATCTATCAAAGTTAAATATAGGGAAAGCAATCATCTCTGTAACAAATTCATTAATTCTTTGGGTTTTTTTGTTTTTGTTTTTTTTGAGACAGAGTCTCACTTTGTTGCCCAGGTTAGAGTGAGTGCTGTGGCATCAGCCTAGCTCACAGCAATCTCAATCTCCGGGGCTCAGCGATCCTACTGCCTCACCCTCCTGAGTAGCTGGGACTATAGGCATGTGCCACCATGCCCGGCTAATTTTTTGTATATATATTTTTAGTTGGTCAATTAATTTCTTTCTATTTTTAATAGAGATGGGGTCTCACTCAGGCTGGTTTCGAACTCCTGACCTTGAGCGATCCTCCCGCCTCCGCCTCCCAGAGTGCTAGGATTACAGGCGTGAGCCACCGCACCCAGCCAAATTCATTAATTCTTAGGAAACTGAGAATAAATTTTAAGGATCATTTTGTGAATTTAAAAGTTTCCTTATATTCCAAAAATCCCTTCTTATGCCCTTACTGACATCTGAGTTATCTACATAGACACGTTGTTCTGTTTGTAGAGGCCTTTCAGTGTTCTTATAGATGACTAATAAGTCCAGGGCTCTGTCACTCATCCCAAATAATGACTGGAGCATGATGCCATGTGATACAGAAACTTTAGGTACTGCACACCAATGCAGACAAATACTCCATGGATTGGCCTAGCTTATTCCTTGGCTGAGAAACAAATAGCCACAAAAGAAAAGCAGGAAGGCAGGCCTTATTTTTATATACAAAGCTTTAAAGGAACTCTGGGGTCAAGTGAGCAGTCTAAAAACTGTGACTGATTTCTAGTTATATAAATATTGCAAAAGTAAAGAATATGGATAGCATAATTTTTGTTGTACAGAAAATTCTTCCACAATATGGAATAAATAAAATGTTGTCTATAGTTAGATTAAAATGAAACCTTTGGGGATTTGGTTAAGTCATTGATATTTATTTTTTAAGGTGTTCTTTCTGTTTTTGAAAACTGAAAATAGGTGGAGCTTTTGTTTTTTTGCTAGTCAAATTTAGCAGAGAGGGGTTGTATACCAACTTTAGTGACACTAATGTTAATAAGGTCTGATAATCCACTACCTGCAAACCAGCTGATGAACAATGTTTCGAGTTTCTATATAGTATAATTCAATTCCAAGCATTCCCCAAGCATAATGAAATTGATACTGTTTGATAATAATATTGCACAAACAAAAGCATGTTAGAAGATTAAGATATTTCATAGGTTTTCACACACTATTTCACTGCTATTCAAATGGGCAACACTGACTAAATGATATTCTGAAATAATATAAGGATTAAGTCATTTGAATAGGAAAAATGCATGTTATTCATTTAATATTTGAATACCTACACCTGTGCTTAAGCACATATCTTTATAGTATAACATTAAAATTAATCTGTCTCTGGACTGAAGTTTGGAGCTACTTTTTTTTCTTTTTAATGAGCCTGGCATTATGGCTGCTTTTTTAAAAATGTGATCTCTTGAATTTTCTAAACTATTTTTGGTGTCGGTTTTGGCATGGATAATGCTCACCAGATACTGGATCAGATAGCTCAAATACAACTTAAGTTTCCAAAAATCCATAATTCCATGTTCATCTAGTGATCATTTGTCGCCTAGGCTAGAGTGCTGTAGCATCAGCCTAGCTCGCAGCAAGCTCAAACTCCTGGACTCAGGTGATCCTCCTGCCTCAGCCTCCCGAGTAGCTGGGACTACAGGTTAATTTTTTTTTCTATTTTTAGTAGAGACGGGTCTCACTCTTACTGAGGCTGGTCTCAAACTCCTGACCTCAAGCGATCCTCCCGCCTCAGCTTCCCAGAATGCTAGGATTACAGGTGTTGTTGTTGGAACAATTGGATATCCATATAAAAAAAAAAAAGCCACCTCAACCTAACTAACATCTTATACAAAAATCAACTCAAAATGGATCATAGACCTAAATGTAAAATATAAAACTTTTAGAAGGAAAATATATTTACATGTGACCCAGAAATACCACTCCTAGGTATTTACCCTAAAGAAATGAAACTTTTAAAATAACACGAATGTACTTCTACAGGTGAATGGTTAAATAAATGGTAATGTATTCATATAATGGAATACTACTCTGCAATATAAAGGAATGATGGCTTGCAGCAGTTTGGATGAATCCCGAAGACATTATGCTAAGTGAAAGGAGCCAGCATTCTACTTATATTCCATTCATATGACATTTTTGAAAGGACAACACTATAATGAGAGAGAACAGACTTGGTCACCAGGAATGGAGGGAGGGTGTGACAGCTGGATAGCGCAAGGGGTTTTATTGGAGTAATGTAACTGTTACGTAACAATTGTGGCTAATGCTGTTTCCTAAAATTGGGGGCTTAGCTTTCTAGAAGTTTTATTGTATCAGTTATTTACTTGAGACCCCAAAGCAAGCATTTGGGGGGATTTTTTGCTTATTTTTTAAAAAATAGCATTTCTGATAACCCTAAATGCTGTTTTGTCAGCCAAATAATAGACAGCAAACTTCTTTCACATGATACATTTTCTTTTAATTTTTTTAAGAATCAGATGGGTGACTCAAATATCTCCAGCCCTGGGTTACAGCCAAGCACTCAGCTCTCCAATCTGGGAAGCACTGAGACACTAGAAGAGACGCCCTCCGGGTCACAAGATAAGGTTTGTACAACCTAAAGCCTTTGCTTTGTCCAAAGTAACAAAACAAAGACTAACATTTTGTAGGGTTTTAATGTGGTGCGAGTTTGATTTGGCACTTATTTGTCAAGGTCCAGATGTGCAGCAACATGATGACATCTATCTTCCCAGGTTACTTCCCTTGATCCATGTAACTATCTTTCATTGGATTTTGCAGTAGCCTCCTATCTGATCTCCTATCTTTTGCCCACTGCCCTCACCTATTCTTAATCCTGCAGCCAGAGTAATCTTGGCAAAACATGTCAGATGGTGACATTCCTCAGTTTAAACCCTTCCAGGGGTGTCCCATCTCACTCAAAAGCCAAGATTGTGGTGGTGGCCCATCGGTCCCTACCTGACCTGGCCCGGCCCCTCTAACCAGGGGCTCTGCCTTGCCTATTTGGCTCCAGCTTCATTGACTCTCATGTGCCAGACATGCTCCTGCCTCAGGACAGGCCCTTGAACTTGATGTTTCCTTGGCCAACAGTACTTTCCTTGAAGATGTGGCTTGCTCCTTTTCCTCCTTTACATCTCAGATGTCCTCCACATAGGTCAGGCCTTCTCTGACTACCCTATTTAAAATAACTACCCTACCCCCATCCTCCTTGTGTGCTTTATTTTCTCACTGACATCTAACCAGCTAACATAGTTTCTGTTTTTCTTCTTTATTCATTGTCTCCTGGACAACAAAATATAAGCTCCCTGGGGCAGGCAGTTTTATCTGCCTTGTTCATTACTGTATCCTTAGCATCCTAGTATTGTAAATATTTGTTGAATTAATTAGTTCTCTTTATAATTGATGGTCTGATAAAGGAATAGATACCAAGTAAAACTTATAGTTTTTTAATAAAACTTTTTGTTTTGAGTTAATTATAGATTTATATGCAATTATAAGAAATAATACAGAAATATCCCATGTACCCATTTCCCTTTTGATAACATCTTACAAAATACAGTATAATATAACCGGGATATTGATGGGATATTTATACAATCCATACATCTTATTCAGATTTCTTCAGTTTTTGTGTGTGTGTGTGTGTGTGTGTGTATTCAGTTCTATGCAGTTTTATCTCATGTGTAGCTTTGTGTATCCAACCACCACAGTCAAGATGCAGAGTATTTCTATCTCCACAAGTATCCTTTGTGTTGCACTTTTATGATCATACCAACTTCTCTGTCTTACCCTCTCTGCTTCCTCCCACCCCTACCCTCTGGCAGCCACTAACCTATTTTCCAGTTTTATAATGTCATTTCAGGACTGCTATATAAATGGGATCATGTAATATATAACCTTTTGAGATTGTCTTTACTCAGCATAATTCCTGGAGATTATTGAAGTTGTTACATGTATCAAGTTGTTTACTTTTATTGCTGAGTACTATTACATGATAGGGAAGTAACAAAATTTGTTTAACTGTAACTATTTTTGACCATTGCCTATGAACATCTAGGTTGTTTTTAGTTTTGGCTAGTATGAATAAACTTCTGTGAACATCTGTGTATAGGTTTTTGTGTGAACATAAATTTTCATTTCTCTGAGATAAATGCCTAAGAGTACAAATGTTGGGTGATTTGGTAATTGCATATTTTAGTTGAATAAGAAACCGCCTATTTTCCAGAGAAGCTATACCATTTTACATTCCCATCAGCAATGTATCCAGTGTTTTTAGGTATTTAGATGATAATTAACTTAAGCCAGATTTTATGTATTACATTCCCATGCTCCATTTTTACTGTATCTGGATTTAGGTTTCTGAAGATCAAACATATTAAATGTCGTTCTCTTACAAAGATTTTATTATGAATTTAATTTTTAAAAATATATGTTAGAGAGACAAGGTTTGTAGCTTCCTTCAGATATGGTTTATCAGCCAGAAGTGTTAAAACTACATTCTTTTTTTAGGCCATAATGACAAAATTTTGTAAAATATTGAGATCTGAATATTGTCAGAGCCATTGACTAAAATTTGCTCAAATTTATAATCAGCCCCTACATACAGATACTACATTTGTTTAGTAACATTGCCATCTAGTGCTGAGGAGCAGATAATGCTGTCAAGCCTTAATAGTACTGAATTCCATTTCAGTTTCATAATTTACTTATTAAACTTCTTTTGGGACTATTTCCCTAGTGTGTTGTGTTTTTTTTTTCTTCCTGTGATCAAGAATAATGGCTGCCTGAATAATGGCCAACAAACATGTGAAAAAATGCTCAACATCTCTTGTCATCAGTGAAATGCAAATCAAAACTGCAATGAGATAATCACTGATCTCCAGTAAGAATGGCCTTTATCAAAAAGTCCCCAAACAATAAATGTTGGTGTGGATGCAGAGAGATAGTAACACTCCTACACTGCTGGTGGGACTGCAAACTGGTTCAGCCTCTGTGGAAAGCAATATGGAGATACCTTAAAGCAATACAAGTAGATCTACCATTTGATCCAGCAATTCCACTACTGGGCATCTACCCAAAAGATCAAATGACACTCTACAAAAGGGACACCTGCACTCGAATGTTTATAGCAGCACAATTCACAATTGCGAAGTTGTGGAAACAACCCAGGTGCCCATCAATACATGAGTGGATTAATAAAATGTGGTATATGTATACCATGGAGTACTATTCACCTTTAAGAAACAATGGTGATGTAACACTTCTTGTATTTTCCTGGATAGAGCTGGAACCCATTCTACTAAGTGAAGTATCACAAGAATACTTCACAATACAAGAATACAAGAAAAACAAGCACCACATGTACTCACCAGCAAATTGGTATTAACAGATCAACGCATAAGTGGACATATAGGAATAACATTTATCAGGTGTCAGGCGGGTAGGAGGGGGGATGAAGGGATGGGTATATACAAACATAATGCTTGAGATGTGCAATGTTCGGGGTATGGTCACGCTTGAAGCTCTGACTTGAGGAGGGAAGGGAGACATGGGCAATATACGTAACCTTAACATTTGTACCCCCATAATATGCTGAAATAAAAAAAGAAAGAATAATGGTTGCCTAATAGTGTGCCCAGTACAATAACTAGTAAATCCAAACAGAAAAAGCTCTAACCAAGAACTGTGGGTTGAGTAAGAAACTATGTAAAACCTCATCCAGTATATTAGAATTTTGTCTTGCACCATGTGCTGTTGCTGACTGATTGACAGACTAACACTTGATCTAAGCAAAGCATTATAAATCTGACTCCAGGCAGGAGCACAGTGGCTCACACCTATAATCACAGCACTTTGGGAGGCCAAGGCGGTATCACCTGAGACCAGGAGTTTGAAACCAACTTGGGCAATGTGATGAGACCCCATCTCTACACAAAATTGTAAAACAATTAGCCAGGCATGGTTGCATGTGCCTGTAGTCCTTGCTACTTGAGAGGCTGAGGTGAGAGGATTGCTTGAACCCAGGAGATCAAGGCTGCAGTGAGCTGTAAAAGTTAAACAGAATTGCCGTATGACCAACAATTCCACTCCTGGGTATATACCCAAAAATATCGCAGGCAGGGATTCAGACAGATACTTTTACAAGAATATTCATAGCAGCACTATTTGTACTAGGCGAAAGGTGGGAACAGCTCAACCTGAGTGTCCATCAGTAGATGAATGGATAAAGATATGATATATACATATGGTGGAATATTATTCAGCCATAACAGGAATGAAATTCTGATACATGTTACAACATGGATGAACCTTGAAAGCATTATGCTAAGTGAAATAAGCCAGTCACAAAAAGAAAAATGTTGTATGATTCACTTGTATGAGGTAACTAGAATTGGCAAATTCATAAAAACAGAAAGTAAAACGAGGTTACCAGGGACTTTTGGGGAAGGGAAGAGAGATGGGAAGTTATTTAATGGTTACAGAGTTTCTGTTTGCAATGATGAAAAAGTTCTAGAAATAGGTAGTAGTAATGGTTATGCAACATCATGAATGTACTGAATTCCACTGAATTTTACACTTAAATATGTTGAAAATGGTAAATTTTATGTATATTTTAGCACATTTTTTAAAATGAGAGAGATGGATTATCTCTGTTCTATCAGTAGACATTTAATGATGCCAGGAATCCAAAAGTGAGTAAGTCACAGTGTTGAGCATGGAAAGTGGAACCCATGCACTTGAGTACAGATACGTGGCCTGCACAGAGAAGTCTGTCTCAAGGGAGAATTCATTACTACTTTGACTTACGTTGAGTGGGTTTGAAATGTTACCAGGGAGTTTTCAACAGACGTGTCCTCGAAGATTCCTTGCATTAGGGGATGACATAATAGCATAGCCTTGGTTATCCCATCAGGTGTTCTTGTGGTGGTGGTTGCTTTGCATTATGAGGATATGGTATTCCAGAAGGATTTGATACATTTTTAATATCCCAGCACATTATTTGGTGCTTATTAAAAAGTATCCAAACAGATTTATCATGATTGCTATTAATACTATATGTTGTTATGTGATAATAATAGTGAATTTCAATTTATTGAATGCATGTTGGGCACCATATATTATAGCAAGAATTTAATTTCCACAACAGCTCTATGAGATAATTGCCACAATTGTCCCTATTTTTCAGATGAGGAAACAAATAGATTATGTAAATTTCCCATTAACAGCTGAGAATTGAACCTAGGCATCTTTGATTTCAGACCCTAAACTTTAGTTTTTTCAGAAGTGAAAATGTGAGGAAATTAAACCATGTAAAATATTTAGTATCTTTTTTTTATATCCACAGTTTATAACTAGGTGTTCATGCTGCCTTATTTGAAGTGAGATTCTGAATCCGGAAAATCCTTTAAAGTGCTAGAGAGTGTTGTGACAAGATAGTCTTATGAGTCTTTCTATGGCATGATTAGTGGGGGCCCATATTTGCCATTTGAGAATTTCCTCACTTAAACAAAGGCCTCTTGTCATATTAACTTCCCAAGACATATTATGTTAGCTTTTTAATATTAATAGAATTCCTTTTGTTGAATATTTTCTAAGATAAAATGGCTTGGTATGAAGCTATGATTTTTTACATTGGGAGGAGTTTTCTGCCTCTTCCTCCACAACAGTTATTTTGCACCAACTGCATCCTTCCCAGATCCCCTGTTGCCTTTCGCCCAGCAGACAACACCATCCTCACACCAGTGAGAAACTACAAAATGGCATTCTCTTAACTTCCCTTAAATGCAGATTTCCCTGCATCCTCCTTGGTGTTAGCCACCTCTCCCTGCTATCTGACGGTGAGTCCCTCCTTGACAAGGGTCCCCTATGCCCATGCCTTAAGGGTATGCTGCCAGTAAGCTCCCTCTCTCCTCAAGCTAACCTTTCCCCTCTGGGAGATCTTTGGCAGAGAGTGTTGAGCCTCTTCTGTGTACTCGCTGGCTCTGTGGTACTGGGTGGTGGTGCCGTTGCGTGGGTAGGCAAGCCCAGGAGAAAGGAAGCAAGGATGAGAGAATAGGTGAGAAAGACAATCCCTGCCTGGGAGGAACTTGCTTTCTACTGTTGTCGCTGTGAGTGCTAACATTAAGTAAGCACCAACTATATGCTGGTTCTGCACATTTCGGCCTCCCCCGGCCTCCCTGGTTTACGGAGGAGCTGAGAGGCCGGCTGTCCGGCGAGAAAGCAGCAGGGCAGCGGCAGCGCTTCTCCAGATGCCCGCCTCTTGGTGCTTGGCACGGCACTGCTTTGTCCCTGCAGTCTCCTGAGGGAATTACTCCCTTGACTGGTGTTACCGTTTTTGTGTTTTAATAACCTCCAAATCAGTACCCTTGAGTTCCACATGTCCCAAGGAGACCTTAAATGTGTTCACAGTTGACCTCAAGCTTCCCCCCTCTCTCAACCTCTAGGGGCTTTTCCTGGGCTTGCCTGCCTAAGTACCACCGCCCAGTACCCAGATACCATGGTATCTAATCAGTCTTTTTTGTGGCCACCAAAGTGCACATCCTAAAATACAAAGCTTAATGGCTCATTCCCTGAACATGTCCCCATTGCCCTATGGATAAAGTCCAGATCCCTTAATGTGTCTCAGACACTCTGCAGTCTGGCCAGTGCTTCTCTCTTCCCTTCATCACCCCTCCTCCTACCAAACCTCTGACCCAGCCCTGCTGAAGTACTTGCAGCTCTCAGAATGCCTGTGCTCCACAGCCAACTCAGCCCTTCCACAGCTTAGCATCCTCTTTCTGGGTACCCATGGCACCCTGCAGCTCTGTCCTAGGGGAGCCCTTGTCACCAGTTGTCCTTGCCTCTTTTCCCCACCTCACGATCACAGCACAATGTTTGGCACCTGGTAAACTCAATAATTCCTTGTTAAGTGGATGAAACATTTGCCTGGAAAAAACTAAGTTTGTTTTCCTCTAGAAATGTGATCATACCGTAGTGCTATCACTATTATACTTCAGATGTAAGGACCATAGTCTTTCTGAGGCCCTGAAAATCATATTATTAGTGGATTAATTTTTTCAGCATAAACATATATATAGAGAGAGAGAGACAACTAAGTAGTTCACACATTTTAGGAATAAAACCCTAAGTTGGGCCAGGCACGGTGGCTCACACCTGTAATCCTAGCACTCTGGGAGGCCGAGGCGGGTGGATTGCTCAATGTCAGGAGTTCGAAACCAGCCTGAGCAAGAGCAAGACCTCATCTCTACTATAAATAGAAAGAAACTAATTGACCAACTAATATATAGAGAGAAAAAATTAGCCGAGCATGGTGGCGCATGCCTGTAGTCCCAGCTACTCAGGAGGCTGAGGCAGTAGGATTGCTTGAGCCCAAGAGTTTGAGGTTGCTGTGAGCTAAGCTGATGCCACAGCACTCACTCTAGCCTGGGCAACAAAGCTAGACTCTGTCTCAAAAAAAAAAAAAATAGTGAAAATAAAGGTAGGAGTCATGGATTAGCATTTGGTCACTCTGTGTTATCTAATATCAATCCCCTATGTGTTACTGACATGGAGCAATTGGGCACAATAATAAGGTTATTTCCCCTTCACCTTGTATTCATTTCGCAAGAAAAAAAGATGAATTCTAACACTATTGTCCAGATTCCCTAAAAATTTGAATTTTATTACTAGTGCAGATTTCCGTCCACAAACTTGGGAAAACTAGATGTACCTTGGCCTTAATCCTAGCACATCTTCAGTTTTTTCTATTTTTTATTTTCAGACTTCATCCATCCTTGCTTCTGCAAACTCCTTTGGTCTATGGAAAAAAATGTTTAGTTGCACTGATATGGAAGAGATTTCTTTCACTGAGGGGTTTAATTTGTTTTTCAGTCTGCTCCATCTGGACACAAACATCTGACTGTGGAAGAGTTATTTGGAACCTCTTTGCCAAAGGAACAGCCAGTTGCAGGTCTGGATTCAGAAGAAGTGGAGAGGCTGCCAGGAGATGCCTCCCAGAAAGAGCCCAGCTCGTTCCTACCATTTCCCTTTGAGCAGACAGGTGGAGCCCCTCAATCAGAAAACCTGGGTGTCCTTTCTGCTGCCCACCACTCAGTCCAAGCTGAAGTCACCACCCCGGTGCTAATCACTCCAGCCGCCATCACACAAACTAGTGAAAAGCATGCCCCAAGCTACACAATCCCTTTGAGCCCTGTGCTCAGTCCCACTCTGCCAGGTGAAGCTCCTGCTGCACAGGTTCCCCCCAGCTTACCTCGAAACAGCACCATGATGCAAGCCGTGAAGACCACACCTAGACAGAGGTCTCCACTCCTGAACCAGCCAGTCCCTGATCTAAGCCACCCCAGTCTGATTGCCAGCCAGAGCCCCTTCAGGGCCCCATTGAGCATGACAAGCACAGCTGGCACATCCCTCCCAAGTGTTGATCTTCTCCAGAAACTCAGGTTGACCCCACAGCATGACCAAATACAGACACAGCCACTTGGGAAAGGTGCAGTGGTACCCAGCTTTTCTTCAGCATCTGGCCAGCTGGCCACACCTGAGAGCTTCATAGAGCCTCCCTGTAAGACAGCAGCAGCAAGAGCAGCGGCCTCAGCCTCCCTGAGCAACATGGTGCTTGCTCCCTTTCAGGTAGTGGTGGGAGGGTGGGAGTGGGCGGGGTGGGTAACTTCATTGGATGGGATGAAACTACAAAGACCAAAGACCTTGGTCTTAACTGACATGAGACAGATAATTTTAAAAGAGTTATCTCTTTAAAGTTTATCAGGGCTAGGAGCCAAGGGAGGCAAGAATCCTCCTTATAGCAAACAACTAAATAATTGGTTAATGGTGTAGCTTAATTCCACTTCCCAAAATTATTTCACCTGATAAAATCTAAGAAATTTTATTTTCTTATCTGGATATGTAGTCATTTTAGGGTTTTTTTGTTTATTTTGTTTTTGCCCGACAATTCCAGGAGTCCTCATTTGACTCAGGACCATAGATCCAAACTATTCCAAGCTTAGTTCCTTTCCCAGCTCCCTCAGTACTCTCTTTGAGTGCCTGCCCTGTGTGCCAGGCACCCTAGGGAGCTATTAGAACATCCCAGATTTGGAGGTGTGAAGTCAAAGAAAGCTTCCTAATGAAACTGACGTTTCAGCTGAGATCCAGCAACTCAGTGGAAGTTAACCAGACCTTTCCTAGAGGTGGAAAAAGTGTTTGAGGCAAGGAGAATAGCATGTACAGTGGCCTGGATATGAACGGGCATTTAGTGAACTTAAAGAAATGTAGTGTGGCTGGATTAAGAAATTGTGTGATGAACGTTGGAGGAGCCAGTATTGGAAGATGAAGAAGACTGTAAATTGTGTTAAGGAGTTTGAGTTTTGTTCTCAGAGCCCTGGAAGTCTTAGAAGGGCTTTGAGCAAAGAGTGATGTGCTGGGAAGGAGAAGACAGGAGTAGGATCAGTCACCCGAGTTTGAACTGGTAGGGTCCTTGAATTTGGGAATGTGGACAGGGAGATGTCTCATCCGTGGGACTTAGTGGTAGACTGGATGTAGAGGGTAAAGAAGAGTTTGTCCCTCACAATTCGTAAGGTTGTTGAGTTTACAAAAGAGAAAATCAATTCAGGGTTCTAGTGACTAGTGTAAAATCACAGAACTGAAAGGGGGTAGACCTTCTGCTCTAAAACAGTATTGGTTGCCATTCAGGATTTTAGTCTCATGCCCTTTAACAACACAATAATGATAATCCTCAATCTTAATATTTTACCAAATAATATTGTATAGAAGAGCCCATCATAATTATTATGCATTATTTCTTAGTTAATGGGTTATTTTATTCCATTCCTTTGAAATCTTATACCAAAAGAAAGAAAACTTAATATCTTGGTCACATCATTATGTTGTCATTCTTGGGTCATTTCTACTGAGGTTCTCTGCAGTATAAAAGGAGAGAGAATATTCTGTTCAACAGAGAGGTATCATACCCCTGAAATGGGCCTGCTGCCACTGTCTCAGTTGCTCTGGAAGTGTAACCAGCAGTCTGGAACATGGCCCTCTCCAGATTCTGGCCTCTAGGACAGCATCCATTCTCACCTGCCTCCTTGCAGGGGATGTTTACATACATGAAATTTTTTTTACTTGGCTGTGGCCAATTTTAGGACCTGGGACTTTCTTAAGTCCTAATGTATTTGCTCTATAGCAAGAAATTCTTTCTCGACAGTGAATAAATAAGGACAGCCTTGAGCATGTAGAAGGGTGCCTCTGTGTGAAGGCTGTTTAGTACCAAGTTTGGATCCCTCCAAGTACTTCTTGGATCCCTCATCTCTACAGACCCAGCAGCAAAAATATGCCTGGGATATCCCTGGCTCTATAAGAGATACAGGTTTCAGCTTTTTCCTTTAAAGCACATTAAAAGGCACCCGTTTGCCCAGGGGAGCTAAAGAGAGGAGTCCAGGAGTCTTCATTATGTAGTTGGTCACTGGTTGCATTGTCACAATTTCCTGTCAGCCTCTTCCCTCGGGAATCTAGGAACTAATTCATGTCAGAACCATTCCCTATCGCTAACCTAGATTTTTCACCAGTAACTAGGAAATCTTCTTAGTAGAAACTTGCTACATCTGTTCATCTTTTCTTTTTAAACATTTCAGTCTATGCAGCAAAACCAGGATCCTGAAGTATTTGTCCAGCCTAAGGTGTTATCCACTGCCATCCCGGTAAGAACCTCCTTTTTTGAAGAACACATTATGTATTTTTAAGTTCTTCTGTTGGAAGTAAAGTGTTGTCACCTTAGTGAAAAATTTTAGCTTTCAAGCTGAGGCCCATCTTAGATGCCCCTCTCAGGCTGGGCTCTCCTGCCCTGTCAGACAGGGTTCATTGCCCTCGCTCTGGAAGTCTTCCCTGGCTGTTTTCCCTGGCTGTGTGTATAGAGGGCAGAGTCACAGGCTGGGCCCTCATTCGGTGTTTGTGAGTAGGTGACTGCCGAGAGTGTATCAGCCTGATTTCTCCCATCGAAGTACTGATGAGACCCAATCCCGCTAACTTTCCAAGATCAGACGATATCGGGCACTTTCAGGGTGGCTTGGCCATAGACAAGCCTAATTTCTATAAGCCCGGGAAGATGTATGGTGTCCCAGGGAGTAGAGCCACTACTCTGCTACAATCCTCTCATTTTCCACTCCTCTGATACCAAAACCTCCCAGGCCTGCATAGTCTGTCCCTTGTTTGTCCTCCTTTGCCTCATTTTTTTTACATGTCCCTGCTCTCCATCACCCACCAACCTTGAAATACACACTCTTTTTTCAGTTCCTTAAATGTCACATTCCTGTGTGCCTTTGAGCCTTTATTTAAATGCTTGAGTCTTAGAATTTAAATTAAAGCCAGCTTCTTTTTTGAAACAGAGTCTCGCTCTGTCACCCGGCTAGAATACAATAGTACCGTCATAGTTCACAGCAACCTCAAACTCTTGGGCTCAAGTGGTCCTCCTGCCTCAACCTCCCAAATAGCTGGGACTACAGGCATGCGCCACCATACCCAGCTAATTTTTCTATTTTTTATAGAGACAAAGTCTCTCTTGCTTAGATTGGTCTTGATCTCAAGTAATCCTCCCACCTTGTCCTCCCAGAGTGCTAGGATTACGGGCGTGAGCCACCATCTCAGCCTAAAGCCCCCTTCTGACTGGTCTTGTTAAACAGTCTTTTCTGTAGTTTGTCCTGCTCATGGTGATCAGCAGGAGCTCTCAGCCTGGTTTGGCACCAAAAAAAAATGAGCTAAATGGCCCACATAGCAGAACTATACCCATATTCATAGTGTTAGCTATAATTAGCCTAGAAGCCCATCTGAATGGGAGAAGGAGGTCTATATTAGCTAGCTTGCTTGCTTGCTTGCTTTCTCTCTCTTTCCTTCTTTTCTTTTCTTGCTTGCTTTCTCTTTCTTTCTTTCTTTTCTCTTTTCTTTTCTTTCTTTTCGTTTCTTTCTTTCTTTCTTTCTCGACAGAGTCTCACTCTGTTGCTCACTCTGTTGCCCAGGCTAGTGTGCTGTGGCGTCAGCCTAGCTCACAGCAACCTCAAACTCCTGGGCTCAAGCAATCCTCCTGCCTCAGCCTCCTGAGTAGCTGGGACTACAGGCATGCGCCACCATGCCGCTAATTTTTTCTATATGTTTTTAGTTGGCCAATTAATTTCTTTCTATTTTTAGTAGGGATGGGGTCTCGCTCTTGCTCAGGCTGGTTTCAAACTCCTGACCTTGAGTAATCCTTCCACCTTGGCCTCCTAGAGTGCTAGAATTACAGGCGTGAGTCATCGCTCCTGGCCTAGCTTTATTTTTAAGAAATTTTTTCCGGGCCGTGTGCAATGGATATATATATATACCCAGTATCCCTTGGGTAACCACCAACTCAATCAATATGTAACATTTCCATCATCACAGAAAGTTCCCTTGTGTACTCTTCATTTCCCCTCCTCCCCCAACCCCCGCAAAAAATTAAAACTTTACCTTTTTAATTTATCATAAGATTGTTCTTTTTTTTTCCTTTTTCTAATTAATTTATTTTTTTTAAGGCTAGACAGGTGAAGCAGTGGGAGTGGAGAAGGAACAAAGGAACATAGGATTGTTCTTACTGAGTATTCTATGCTAGTATTCATCATATCATATTCACCTTCTGTGGTGGTTAGACTTTGCTTTCCATAGTAATTCTAGGGCATTCTTAAATGGGCTCTTCATCCTTTAGCAAACAAGCCTCATAATCAGGTATAAAATGTTCAAATGCTTCTACTGAGTGTTTGCTTGAACCCAAAATGGTTAGCACTTGACTCTGTGCTGCACTTCACACCGTTTATGCCTCTTATCAGAGGGTGCCTGTGCTGGGCCTGCTGCTGGCTTCTGCACCTGGGTGCAGGATGACCGTTGTCCCCCGTCAGGTTGCAGGCCCCTCACTGGTTACTACAGCGACCACCACGGTGTCTTCAGTCCTGCTGTCTCCAAGTGTTTTTCAGCAAACATTCACGAGGTCCTCAGACCTTGAGAGGAAAGCAAGCTCCCCTTCTCCTCTAACTATTGGAACACCAGAAAAGCAGAGGCAGCCTTCCATTGTTCTCAGCAAGTCTCAGCTCCAGGACACATTAATACATCTAATAAAGGTATGTAGGGTATCAATTTAGTCTTTGATTTTTCAGTCTTTAATAAAAGAAAACAAATTGTGTAAGTTCTTCCTATTAAATAGTTCATAAAGTAAATCCAAAGACTACCTGGGAATAATGTTTCTCTCTTCTTGAGCATGTACTCCTTCCTGATAGAGAACCATCTGAGTGAATTCCAGTGTATTAATTACTGTCTCTAGGTGGTGGGATTATTTGGGTAATTGGTCATTAGCCATACAAATTACTTATAACTTTTATAAGCTATTATCAAGGAATTATGTTCCAATGTAAATGCAACATTTTGTGTTCTTAACTGTTATCATCTCTTCTAGAATGATTCCAGCTTCCTCAGTACACTTCATGAAGTCTACTTGCAGGTTCTAACCAAGAATAAAGACAACCACAATCTATGACTGGAGCAGAATAAATCTGAAGGCAGAGAGTGTCAACCTCAAAAACAAATAGGCCTCATCATGGAAATTTCTAAACAGAACGTTGAGTTTTGAGAATCCTGAAATCGAGCCTATGAGAAAGAGACTCATTCCATAAGAATGCTTTCCAAGTAACATTCTCAGTGATAATGGAGGTTTCACTGTGAAGCATCACCAGCAGACCCTTGTTTTGACAAAAAAAGAAAAGATCATTGTGTTGAGTTATGTGAGTGTTTTCATCAGCTATAAGCAAGCATGTGAAATAAGGAGTCTTTTCAGCTTGCTTTCACTTTCAAGGACTTAGGGAGGAATAGTCACCAGCTTTACTGCAGCCACAGCTCAGCCCAGCCCATGCCCCGTCCCCTGGCCCTTCCCCCTAGAAACTTGGACATTGGGCTGATAGTTAAGTTCTGAACAGAGAAGTCAACTCTGCAAGTAGCTTTTGAAGATCAGAGTTTTAAGGATCAGAGTTTAAGTTGGTAAATTAGGAATTTGTTCAACTGAAGTATATTTCTTATGAATGCCCCATTTGGGCCTTGAAAGTTCTGAAATTTCTTAATAGCATTTTGTTTTTAAGTGTCCCCAGTCCTGCCTTACAGGGGCTCCCAGTGCAGCACTAACATTTGAATAGGGTGTTGGCAGGCTCTAGTGTGGGAGCAGGCATGGCACCTTTGAAGCAAAGGTTGGGGCTGGTAACACCCAGATCTTATGAAATCTTCATTATAAGTTAAACTCTCCAGTGATTTTGAAAATGTTTGTGTGTGAAGCACAGCTTTATTTTCCTTTTCTGTCTAAACACAGTTAGAAGTCATTGTTGATTGTTTTCCTTAACACTTAGACAAAAGGACCAGTGAACCATCTGTCTAGACCATCCTGGTTCCATTCCTTGAGTGTACCGAGAATAGTTTTAAAGCCATGCAGAAAAGAGAGCTGTTATTCACACTGCCCTTATTTTGTTGTAGAATATGGAGTTGAAAAGAAAGTATGAGATTCAGAACTTTACCAATGTATTCCTAGGCTGTGAGTATTTTCCCAGCCCAAAGTGTGAAAATATGTAAAGATGCTTTGTTATGCTGCTATTGATCTGCCATGATTTGTATTTATTCTTTTATGGCATGTAATGGTGTTTAGTAATATTTTAATGTAGATTTGATTTATTTCAGCAATAGTAATTTTAAGATATTCTTTGAATGAAAGTGTCTTTCTTTCTATAATACAGGTCATTTTGTAGTATTTAACCAATTAAGATGCACTGCTTACTTTTCTGAGCACTATTTAATGATGGGGTAAAAACCCAACTGGCTCAACCAGCTAGCATAAGGATTAGCTGTGAATAATGCTGACAGATGTGAGGGTTCCTCGGGAACAATCATTTAAGCTTTAATGGTAACTCAATCATAAGTCTATAGATTTTTTTTCTAGGTGAAATTTTAGAAAATTATTTGTGAATTATATACTTGTTTTAGTTGGTCTTAGTTTTTTAGCATAAAGAATACTTTGATTGGCTTTTGTTAATCTAAACATGCTTCCTGGACAACATTTCTGCTTCTCAATTAAGTGTCTTCTATTGCTGTCTACGTAGTTATGTGTGAATTGTGCAGAATTCAGGGAAGCTTTTAAGTTTTCATGCTCAATTAGGAATAGTTTGTTTTCAAAGATAGTGTGTAAATTCAGCAACCAAAAATGAATTGCTTGTGCATAATATGGGAAATAGAAAGTTATAGTAAGAAACAGTGTCACTGACACTAGGAGATGGTGTCCAGGGAGCCACGTGACGGTTCTCTTAAATGGATGTGCCAGTAGATTTGACCACACCCCTAGTGTAGTCTCAGTGGGCTTTGGTAAATGATGAATCAAGGGATTTCTGTTATAATGGAAATTTGAATTTAAATGATGCTTTTGAGTATGTGTAATATTATGAGAGGTTTAAGAGAGAGTATCCTAAAGAAGGTCTGTAGGCCAATCTGTTAATGCTCACCCTTTAATGCTAGGAATGAATATGATAGTAAAGAGGATCTATGATAAGGCTTCCCTAGTGTGAGAGTAAACTTTTAAGTGCCCAAGTCGTGGAGACTTGAAAAGAGTAAACCTGTTTCAACTCCCAAACTTATATATTCAAAGCATTTACTTAAAATTCAGAAGCCAGAAGTTCACAGTCATGATTGCCAGTAAGTTCGGGCCAAAATGAGTCCATAGAGAAGCCAGGCCAAGCCTGGATGGTTGCAATTGGTTGACCCTGGCCGAAAAGTCACAGTTCAGTTGCCTTATTCCTTGGTCAGGCTTACTATCCAGAACCTCGTGCTAGTTTAGTTGCATGTTTACATTGCTGCAGCGTCTTTACTGGAACCATAGTTGAATCACAGTGGACACCAAGATGGAGACGCTTCTTGCTAGATTTTGCAGAACCCCAGGAGGCCTGCATTGAAACCACCCTGTCCATCTGTGTCCTGCCCCTGCCCCTGCCCCCAGGGTCCAAGTGCAGGCTCAGAGCTTGGAAGAGAGGAGTGTCTGGGGCGTCAGCGGTGGGTGGTGCTGCTCTTGTTGTAGTTAATGTGATGTCTTCAAATGGACTCTCACACCTCCCAGACAGCCTGTTCCTCAAAGGCAGAAGCTCCTCTTCCTCAAGTGACTGTCAGTGTAGGGAGAAGCTTTTTTTTTTTTTTTTTTTTTTTTTTTTTTTTTTTTTTTTCACTTTCTGGCTCTGGGTAGTGTGCAGTGGTGTCATTGTAGCTGGCCTAAAAAGGCCTCCACCTTGAGAAGCATTTCATGCCGTCTGTGTGCGGAATGTCCACAGCCTGCCTTTGAAGGCTTAGGTTTAGCCATCAGACTTTGGGTAATTGGTCATTAGCCATACAAATACTTATAACTTTTATAAGTATTATCAAGGAATTATGTTCCAATGTAAATGCAACATTTTGTGTTCTTAACTGTTATCATCTCTTCTAGAATGATTCCAGCTTCCTCAGTACACTTCATGAAGTCTACTTGCAGGTTCTAACCAAGAATAAAACAACCACAATCTATGACTGGAGCAGAATAAATCTGAAGCAGAGAGTGTCAACCTCAAAAACAAATAGGCCTCATCATGGAAATTTCTAAACAGAACGTTGAGTTTTGAGAATCCTGAAATCGAGCCTATGAGAAAGAGACTCATTCCATAAGAATGCTTTCCAAGTAACATTCTCAGTGATAATGGAGGTTTCACTGTGAGCATCACCAGCAGACCCTTGTTTTGACAAAAAAAAAAATCATTGTGTTGAGTTATGTGAGTGTTTTCATCAGCTATAAGCAAGCATGTGAAATAAGGAGTCTTTTCAGCTTGCTTTCACTTTCAAGGACTTAGGGAGAAAGTTCACCAGCTTTACTGCAGCCACAGCTCAGCCAGCCCATGCCCGTCCCCTGGCCTTCCCCTAGAAACTTGGACATTGGCTGATAGTTAAGTTCTGAACAGAGAAGTCAACTCTGCAAGTAGCTTTTGAAGATCAGAGTTTTAAGGATCAGAGTTTAAGTTGGTAAATTAGGAAATTGTTCAACTGAAGTATATTTCTTATGAATGCCCCATTTGGGCTTGAAAGTTCTGAAATTTCTTAATAGCATTTTGTTTTTAAGTGTCCCCAGTCCTGCCTTACAGGGCTCCCAGTGCAGCACTAACATTTGAATAGGGTGTTGGCAGGCTCTAGTGTGGGAGCAGGCATGGCACCTTTGAAGCAAAGGTTGGGGCTGGTAAACCCAGATCTTATGAAATCTTCATTATAAGTTAAACTCTCCAGTGATTTTGAAAATGTTGTGTGTGAAGCACAGCTTTATTTTCCTTTTCTGTCTAAACACAGTTAGAAGTCATTGTTGATTGTTTTCCTTAACACTTAGACAAAAGGACCAGTGAACCATCTGTCTAGACCATCCTGGTTCCATTCCTTGAGTGTACCGAGAATAGTTTTAAAGCCATGCAGAAAAGAGAGCTGTTATTCACACTGCCCCTATTTTTGTTAGAATATGGAGTTGAAAAGAAAGTATGAGATTCAGAACTTTACCAATGTATTCCTAGGCTGTGAGTATTTTCCCAGCCAAAGTGTGAAAATATGTAAAGATGCTTTGTTATGCTGCTATTGATCTGCCATGATTTGTATTTATTCTTTTATGGCATGTAATGGTGTTTAGTAATATTTTAATGTAGATTTGATTTATTTCAGCAATAGTAATTTTAAGATATTCTTTGAATGAAAGTGTCTTTCTTTCTATAATACAGGTCATTTTGTAGTATTTAACCAATTAAGATGCACTGCTTACTTTTCTGAGCACTATTTAATGATGGGGTAAAACCCAACTGGCTCAACCAGCTAGCATAAGGATTAGCTGTGAATAATGCTGACAGATGTGAGGGTTCCTCGGGAACAATCATTTTAAGCTTTAATGGTAACTCAATCATAAGTCTATAGATTTTTTTCTAGGTGAAATTTTAGAAAATTATTGTGAATTATATACTTGTTTTAGTTGGTCTTAGTTTTTTAGCATAAAGAATACTTTGATTGGCTTCTGTTAATCTAAACATGCTTCCTGGACAACATTTCTGCTTCTCAATTAAGTGTCTTCTATTGCTGTCTACGTAGTTATGTGTGAATTGTGCAGAATTCAGGGAAGCTTTTAAGTTTTCATGCTCAATTAGGAATAGTTTGTTTTCAAAGATAGTGTGTAAATTCAGCAACAAAAATGAATTGCTTGTGCATAATATGGGAAATAGAAAGTTATAGTAAGAAACAGTGTTCACTGACACTAGGAGATGGTGTCCAGGGAGCCACGTGACGGTTCTCTTAAATGGATGTGCAGTAGATTTGACCACACCCCTAGTGTAGTCTCAGTGGCTTTGGTAAATGATGAATCAAGGGATTTCTGTTATAATGGAAATTTGAATTTAAATGATGCTTTTGAGTATGTGTAATATTATGAGAGGTTTAAGAGAGAGTATCTAAAGAAGTCTGTAGGCCAATCTGTTAATGCTCACCTTTAATGCTAGGAATGAATATGATAGTAAAGAGGATCTATGATAAGCTTCCCTAGTGTGAGAGTAAACTTTTAAGTGCCCAAGTCGTGGAGACTTGAAAAGAGTAAACCTGTTTCAACTCCAAACTTATATATTCAAAGCATTTACTTAAAATTCAGAAGCCAGAAGTTCACAGTCATGATTGCCAGTAAGTTCGGGCCAAAATGAGTCCATAGAGAAGCCAGGCCAAGCCTGGATGTGTTGCAATTGATTGACCCTGGCCGAAAAGTCACAGTTCAGTTGCCTTATTCCTTGGTCAGGCTTACTATCCAGAACCTCGTGCTAGTTTAGTTGCATGTTTACATTGCTGCAGCGTCTTACTGGAACCATAGTTGAACACAGTGGACACCAAGATGGAGACGCTTCTTGCTAGATTTTGCAGAACCCCAGGAGGCCTGCATTGAAACACCCTGTCCATCTGTGTCCTGCCCTGCCCTGCCCCAGGGTCCAAGTGCAGGCTCAGAGCTTGGAAGAGAGGAGTGTCTGGCGTCAGCGGTGGGTGGTCTGCTCTTTTGTAGTTAATGTGATGTCTTCAAATGGACTCTCACACTCCCAGACAGCCTGTTCCTCAAAGGCAGAAGCTCTCCCTCCTCAAGTGACTGTCAGTGTAGGGAGAAGTTTTTTTTTTTTTTTTTTTTTTTTTTTTT